AAACAATTAATCAAAGAAATTCAACTTATTTGTATGATTTATGGCATTGTAACTTATTATACTGCTAAAAGAGATTGTTGTTCTCTGTACCTCTATCTGTGGTTGTACTGTTGTCAAAGAGTTGCAGGACTTGGTAATGCAATGAAAAACTAGACCGAATTAAGTGACGGGAATAAAAGAAAAAAAAACAAACAAACCCAGACTCCGATCAGGGTTCAGAGGGTTAACTATCAGTTTACACAAAACAGCGAAATTCATGAACTCATGGTGTCAAAACCAAAATCTCACAAAAAGAGACCTTTCCAAGCATCTCTTCTGCTAAACCAGCTGAGCGCATAACAGCAACCTGAAGACGTCCGTGTCATGAAAAAAGGTCTCGTAAAAACGATGGTTACTGTTATTAAGGCATCTTATACAATCCTACCACACTCACAAAGTCTCCTGTAGTAGTTTAGTCATAAATGTACAACATGAATTTATGTTAATGTCCTTGTGGGCAACAGTAGCAGCAGCAGTGGTTGTGGGAGGATAAAAGTTTTACAGGCACATCACTCCAGGCCTTAGTCTGTCAAGTAAGAGTTTCTAGTTCCAAAGCATGACGCTGAATATTCGGCATTCGTTGACACCGGCGCAGAGTGCGCGAGTCACCGAGGAAAGGGAGCTGAGGTGCGAACCGGCAGAGTCATCGGGGGCCTTCTGAATCATCTCTGCTCTCGAGAAGCGCGTGACTTTTCTCAAAAGCATTCTTTTTCGAAAGAGAAGCTGCTGCCACACAATGGACTTTGGCAACGACTCTATGCAAAATTCATATGAGTTTTGTGTCCCTATTAACAAGTCAAATTAATTTAGCTCCTCAAGGCAAATCGAGTGTTGTGTTACGTTAATGTCTACCTACACTCTCTTTGTTTGGGTTCCACTGCTGATTGTAAATTTTATGATTAAAAACAAAAACAAAACTTGCAATAACAGAAAGTGAGCTTTTACAGTTGTGGCGTCTGAAACCCCAAACAGAACCAATGTGTCCGTAACAGACTTATGAAACGTCTCAAGTTCAAATCATGTTTACGAGCAATGTCTCATAAAACGAGTTAAAGTATCATCCAAGCAGAAACCTCAGAGGCTGGAAAGTGAAGCCAATGGGGGGCAGTGCCAAAAACTACAGTTCCTAAAAAGGCCGCTTGAGACCGGCTCCGAAAGCGTGTCAATCCCCACAGCCCTGAAATGTTCAAATGCCCAACTTTAAAGCAGAAATAAACACTTTTGATCTCTGTGGCTGATTTCCCTGTTCATGACAACTATATCGGGTGGCGGATTTTTCCATAATTCACCCGTTTAAACGATAATAAGGGTTGAAGTTGTGCATAATTAGGCTTTGAGTGACGGATGGGTGGCGTCCCAGTTCAGTCCCCCTTTGTTCGGTCCACCTCAGCTCCACTTCCGCTCCACCTCTTTGTTCATTTTTGGAGCTGGGAGTTCGAAAGAATCAGGCACTGCCAAGATGGCAACAGCCAGAGTCACCACACTGAGCTTCAAAACAGCTCACCGAGGCACAGAGGGTTCACTAAAACAATATTTTTGGAGCAGTTGGGAACCCGGGGCGGCAGGAGGCATTAGGGTTAAGGTTCGCTTGCCCGTCTTACGTAAGAAGCATGAATCATTAAATTAAAAGCTGTACTTGGATTAACGGGGATTCATACCTTCAAAGGAACAAGCCGTCCTCAAACACGCTCATCTAGCAGCAGTGGTTCAAGAAATACAGAATCTCAGCAGGATTTATGGCAGACTGAGTTAATGACAAGCCATATGCAACATGTTCTGCTGTGAAATTTTGATATTTCTAAGATGTTGCTTAGCGTCGGTGAAGCGACGTCCAAGTTCTCGTGTCGCTGAGAGACTGAGCCTGGGTCTGTTTGTCTGACGCACGGTTAAATAATAATTCACGGAGATGCTTATAAATAAGTTTAGCCTTTTATTAAATGAAAACAGGATCATAACTCATATGGAAAAAAAACTCCAAATCAAAGTAATCAAAATAAAATAGCAATCAAAATAGTATTATAGCAGAAAAGCGAAAAAAACGAAAAAACGGTCAACAAAAAATACGGCGACCCAGCTCACCCACTCTCCCTCTTCTCCTCACAAAAGCTCAGGTGAAGTGGTGAATAGGTGAGCTTAAATCCCCGCCCATCTACGGGAGCTGCTACCTCCCAATCAAATGTGTCCATCAGAAAGGATCACAATCAAAACAACAATAATCAATGTGCTCTTTATCCTGGCAACAAAAACACAGACTTACTCATGGCTCCTACAGTCGGCCTTACATATGTTGCATATGTTGTTCTTTTAGCGGTAACGGCACATAAGCAGCCCAGAACAGTCTTTTCATGAACAGTGTGTCAACTAATAGGCGTCATCAGTAGATGTTAGGTCCGTGTAGGTCACGTTATAATGAGGATGGAGTACATTTCTGATAATAGACCGTAGGACTGTATGTGCACTTAATTATGGAATTATAAAAGGCATACACCTTCTGTGTGCCGGCACCGCTCGCTCTAATCGATGCTCGAGTTTTTCTGAGGCCTTAAAAAATTGATAAAGTTGTAATTGCTGTAATCGCCCTGCAACAAGATAACCGCAGAAATAAATGCGGTTCATAACATGGCTAACTGTAATCTTTGTCAAAACAAACTGCACATGAGCGATATGGTGTCGTATCGCCGCATCTTAATTAAAT